TCATGCTTTTCCTCTCCTTTTTAACCATAAGTCCTGGAAAACAGAACTGGATCATGGATGCTGCACAGGAGACATACGGGCCTGCTCTAGCTGTTTAGAAGCCTTGGCTGGCAAACTGGCTTTGATTTATAGACAATTTATTGTCTGATTATTTTATTATTAGATGAATGCTTTATTTTTTTGTGTGAAACATTCTTAGAAAATCATAATTTTAAAAAATGGCTACTGGGTGTATTCAATTACTGCATTTCACAGTTTTTTTAAATGGAGAAATTTAGTAGGTACATTCTGTATTGTGAGTATGTATTTACCTGATCAACTATAACAACTCTAATAGAATCATTTACAGCTCATTGAGAAAATAAAAGTGCTTCCATAAAGATTCACATGACACCTAGCTCTTATTTCAGGTAACCAATTTCTTTTTAAAAAATTGCCCAAATTTAGAGTTATATGAGACAGCCAGAACATCTAAGCAGTTTATGAAGAAATTTAAATGGTCATAGGCTTCCCAGACTTAGAGTGTAAGATCAGATAATGATATTAATTCTTCCTGATCTCTGCTACAAAGTTATTTTACTATCCTTACCTCTTTGTTACATTAAAAAAGCATTTCCATAGGTTTTTTGATATTATTTGCAACAAGAAAAATACTTAATATTTAATTGTTACTTAAACATCAAATTCTCAGATCAAACTTCACTAGAAATTGTGCTGGCTTTTTTTTTAAGCTAAGTAACTTAAAATCAAATTTTATCCAATTTTATGAATAAAACATATTTTCTAAGAGTACAGCAAATGATTCTAATAGCAGAAGCAGCATTTGTTTTCATTTCCACAGATATAAGCCTGACTGCTGGCTGGAACCTTTGAGGAACAAAACTCTTGAAGGAAATGTGTATTCTCTTCCTTCTTACCCCCTTCTCTCTCTCCCGTCTCCCTCCTTTCCCCTCCTCTCTTCCCTCCATCCCTCCCCTTTTCCCCAAGGCATTTTGATGGTTTTCTGTGTTAAGAACATAAGGTCTGAAGAAAATGTGCAGAAGATGAGCCTGATTTAAAATAGTACAGAAATACTTGACACCACAGTTCAAGGTTATTTAGTCAAAACCACTCTATTAGAGAGAGAGTATTTTCACACACATGGAAAAATAGACACATACAAAGAAGGGCAAGAACAGGTGAACCTGAGCCTTGCAGAGCATGCCAAGACCTGCAGAATCTTCAGACTGCAGCGCTTGCTGGAGCTCCTCTCTGAAGGGCAGCCTTCCAGCTTGTCAGGTCCTGGGCTGGTGGGCTCACGGGAACGAGAGGGAGGCTTCAGGTGCAGTGTGTTTCAGGAAGCTGTTGTGCATCTCTAACACTGGCAAAACGGACTCTTGATCAGTTTGGTGAGCTTGCTCTTCTGTAGCGCAGAACATCAAGAAGACCCCAGGGGGATGCCGGATCTCTTGGTCTGATTCTGTTTGCCCTCCCTTTCACATACCAGAACTTGAAGCACAGAGATGTAAACTCCTTCTAAAACAAAAGCAGTAACAACAAGAAGAAGAACAAAAACCCACCTGAAGTAGTATTACCCTGTGATCTCCCCCACCCCTGGCGCTGTGGCACTTCTGTGTATTTACCCAGAATATTTGAAGTTGGTGTGTTGAAGGGATGTCTGCATGCCATGTTTATTGCAGCATTTTTTTACAAGTCAGGTTATGGAATCAACCCAAGTGTCCACCAGCCAGTTAACAGACACATTTTGGAGTATCTGCACAATGGAATACCGCCCAGACTTACTGAAGAAAGAAATTCTGTCAGCTGTGACAACACTCCCGGAAGTGAAGGACGCTAGCCCAGGACACATGCCTCATTTCTCCTCACGTGTGAGAGGGCACAGCTGAGGATCTACTGAACTCACAGGAGCAGAGAGGAGACTGGTGGTCACCATTGGGGTGGGGCTCAACTGGAGAGAGAACAGTGAAAATGTCCCACGTCTTAGGACAGACAGCGGAAGGTTGATGAGTTTAGCTCTCTTGTACATTGGTGACGGGAGCTCACAGTTATGCTAACAGGATAAAAGAGCAGTGTTCTCGAAACAAACATTTGATGTAATCACTCTACATTATATTAAAATTACAGTACACATTACTGTAACTTACCAACATTGTAAAATCCTAAAAGACTTAAAAACAAAACTTGAAGCTTCGCCCAACCGCATTGAAAATCATTGCTATAAGTGAGCTAAAGATAGCAAGGAAGAGAGTCGAGTGCCACTGTCCTCGGCCCTTCAGCATTCTCCCAACCTCCAGGTCTGCAGGGGAGAAGTTAGGAGGTGACATACAGCGCTTACAGCTACAAGCTCAGTTGGGTAGTGAAGCCACCACCTCACATGTCATCCGGAACAAGCTCTGGAAGTGGTTCTGGTAGCCGAAAGCCTAGGAGGGTGAGGCTGCCTGTGGTACACCCTCTGCCTGTCTGTGGTACACCCTCTGCCTGTCTGTGGTACACCCTCTGCCGGTGGTAACCCTCTGCCTGCCTGTGGTACACCTTCTGCATGTGGTACACCCTCTGCCTGTCTGTGGTACACCCTCTGCCTGTGGTACACCCTCTGCCTGTCTGTGGTACAGCCTCTGCCTGTCTGTGGTACACCCTCTGCCTGTGGTACACCCTCTGTCTGTGGTACACCCTCTGCCTGTGGTACACACTCTGCCTGTGGTACACCCTCTGCCTGTGGTACACCCTCTGTCTGTGGTACACCCTCTGTCTGTGGTACACCCTCTGCCTGTGGTACACCCTCTGCCTGTCTGTGGTACACCCTCTGTCTGTGGTACACCCTCTGCCTGTGGTACACCCTCTGCCTGTGGTACACCCTCTGTCTGTCTGTGGTACACCCTCTCCCAGTCTGTGGTACACCCTCTGCCTGTGGTACACCCTCTGCCTGTGGTACACCCTCTGCCTGTGGTACACCCTCTGCCTGTGGTACACCCTCTGCCTGTCTGTGGTACACCCTCTGTCTGTGGTACACCCTCTGCCTGTGGTACACCCTCTGCCTGTGATGCACCCTCTGTCTGTGGTACACCCTCTGCCTGTGGTACACCCTCTGCCTGTCTGTGGTACACCCTCTGCCTGTGGTACACCCTCTGCCTGTGGTACACCCTCTGCCTGTGGTACACCCTCTGCCTGTGGTACACCCTCTGCCTGTGGTACACCCGCTGCCTGTGGTACACCCTCTGTCTGTGGTACACCCTCTGCCTGTGATGCACCCTCCGCCTCTGCTCAGGTTCTGAAGTGAGGTGCCCAGGACCAGAATGACAGCTCTGAGGGAGCCCTTAGCCACGATAACCAGGACTGACACTTGCCTTTGGGTGTTCCTTCCATGGGATCCAGTAAACCCTGTGCTTCATGGAGATAACTGAGTGGTCACTGTAGGTGATTTTTTTTAACTTCCAGCATAAGAAGAGACGATTTCCATCAGCTTGCAGTGGAGTATCAAGAAATCAAAAGAACAGAGATCAAAGAAAATTGCTGAACTAGGTGTTAGATGCAGGCATTGATTTTCTCCAGTTGTACTTTAAAAAAATCTACAAAAATGGTAACACATACAGCAGTAGAATTTCTAATATGTTCCTAATGCTAGCCATGGTTTCCTCCTTGTCTCTACATGTAGGGATAGCTTTGTATAACATAACACAGTGAAGCAGACCCTTAAACTTCATCTTATTTTATTATCAAAACTTAAAGAGAATCCAAGAAAAAGAGGTGTTTAAAACTCAGTAAACTGGAATGTTTTTAGTGGGCACTCATAACTGGCCTTGTTATCTCACCAACATTCATTTGCCAAGAATCTGGAAAATTCTGATAAAAAATTGATCATTATTTTCTTATATGTGTAGATGTTTTAAAATAGTATTTGCTTCATGACTAAGACTTCATTCACATTAAATATTAACTACTATTTAATGGTATTTTGTTTCTTAAGCCTTAAATCATAGCTTTACCAAATGTTAATTTTGTTTTTAAGTATTTTATGAGTATGGGGCAGTTTTGAATATTGATTTTGGATTCTACCAATGTTTTATATATCTACATATGAGAAATTGATTTTACAGTATAATCTCTATGTTTATAAATGATTCCCAGATGATTAAAATAATCTTCATCAAAACAGGTACTGGCATTGTTAATGAAAGTATAACCTAGGTTCTCACTGGACTTTATTCATAGTGTATTATTTTCTAGAAATCACTGGGATTTGCTTATTTTTCTTTGTGCTAAACTTGCAAATTAAATCATTGAAAGTAATTTAGAAATGAACACCATAGATCATTTCCTGAACAGTCATTATAGCACATTGTAAACTAATGGAATAAATTCAACTAGGGCTTGTTTCTGCATATGGCCAAAAATTGGAGCTAAACTGGAAAATGCCTAGTTGTGTTGACTTCTTTGTTCCTCCGTCATTCTGAAACAACTATGACATAGAGTGTTGTGGGATATGTGTACATTGTGTGAAGATGTATCACTGTGATTGGTTTAATAAAGAGCTGAATGGCCAATAGCTAGGCAGGAAGAAGTTAGGTGGGACTTACGGGGACAGAGAGGCTTCTGGGAAGAGAGAGGCAGGAGATACTAGCAAGACTCTTAAGAAGTTGGACATACAGTACAGAGCAGAGGTAACCGGGCCATATGGCAGAACGTAGATTAATAGAAACAGGTTAATTTGAGCTAGTTGGGGACAAGCCTAAGCTAAGGCCAAACTTTCATAATTAATAATAACTCTCTGTGTTATCATTTGGGGCTGGCAATCCAAAGATAGTCCAACAAGAAAGCTTGCTATATACAGTAGGATGAGTTGATTCAGTTACAGTTGGAAAATTGCTTCCATAAAGTTTCCTGTAGATTACTTAATGGCAAGCTCCATCCTACACCTCAAGCATTACCAACCCACTTCCTCATTTATGTTTGTAGATTCTATTTAAGAGTTTAAAATTCATTGTGCTTCTTTCTTCCCACAGACAGGATCCCGAGACCATTCCAATGTCTCCATCCCTTCCAGACCTGTTCTCCCTGGGAATACAGTTGGGGACTTCCTTCCACTGCAAGCAGAACTTGATACAACCTACACTTTTTTAAAGGAGACATTCATAAATACAGCACCCCATTCTCTGACGTCATCCCAGTCCTCTCCAGTGATCCCTGCTAATGCCAAAAGACCATCTCAGATTGGATTATGACTTTATGAAATAAAATAATGGAGGACAAGTTAATTATACAATTAAAATTGTTTTGAAGGGGGATTTTCTTGAGTTTTGTTTAATGCAAGTGAGGGTGGGCTTTTGAAAATTGTGTAATATCTTGATGTGTACAGGGATCTCTGTCTCCTTAAATAATGAAATCACCCACTTTTCCTCTCTAAGTTTTATTTATTATCACAGTTGCTCATTTTTATGTAACATATTTTTAAATGTTAAAGAATGACACATTTTGGGTAATTTCCCTCAGACTTAAAAAAATCAATAAGCCATTTTAGTCTCTATCTATCAAAGTTGTTTCATACTTGTCTATTTTAAAGCAAGGCTGCAATACTTTAATAGGATTGAGAGAGCTATTTGAAATGTATGCCAATGATTCCTGTCATTTCATGGCAGCCCTGCCATGGTTCACTGAGCCCCTCTTCTCTCCTGTCAGCTCGACTGAAGACAAGCATTTAGTTGCAAACTTTAAGCAGGTTGTGCAAAACAGAAATGATGTGAGTGCTTCTCCTCCTGCACAATAATGTCACTCCTGGTCAATGTGAGAAGGTCAGGTTGCTCCTTGTAAAGCTACATGATACCACTTGCCCATTTGAACAAGTTAAGTTAACTGCTGAATCTGGTCCCTGTAGGCATTGAAAACCTTGTCCTTTTATCAAGTCTGTGTTTGATGGGAAGGCAGAGCAGCTCTGCTGGGAGGGTTTCCATGGACTGCTCAGGCACTTTATAAGGACAGTTCCCACGCCAGTGTAGCAGGTGATATATTTAGTATAAGCTGAAAAACTTCAAGGTAACGGCCATTTTGACCTTCAGAATAGACTCCTCTTTTTGTTTTTGTTGTTGGTAAGACCCAAGAGTGACGACCATCTTTGATGCTGACAGAATTTAAAACAAGGCCATTGCCCTGCATTTTCTGCCTTGTAGCACACAAAAGTAAAATTGTATGTCAGGCCGAGATGTCGGGGAGCTGACAAGATGCCCCAGTGACATTTCAGCTAGAAAGAGCAAGTGTCTTGCAACCAAGTGGTCAAATATCAAATAATAGGTCAAGCAGGAAGGAGCTGAGTCCTAACCACAAAGAGGTTTCTAGTAACTTACTTGACAAGCTTTTGGGCGCTCTGTGGCTTGACAAAGTGATGTTCTGTTGGGTACCGCTAGACAGACTGTTCTTTATCGCCGTCAGAAGATCAGGCATTGACATTGATTAAACTCTTTAACCCTTAAAGGTTAACTCTTTCAGTTTGCATCATGGTAAGTGAAGAACAAAAGAATACTTGTAATGTGCGTTTGTTTTTGTATTCATCACTTAACTCCCCAGTGACACTAACTTCTAATGAGAACTGTAGTTTTTGACAAAGAATTTTGCTATAAAATCTATATTTGGTATTATCTTTCATGATAGAATTTTTCATTATGGATACGTTAGAAAATAACAGTTTGTATTGTGAAGCCTATATTGTGTTTTGTGACATTTGGCCTTGGGAAATAAAATCTGTGTACTACTGTTTATTGTGCCATCCAGATCAGCCTGTGATGTGTGCTGTCTGATGTGACATGGCATCATTGCTGTCATTTTGTGTCATACTCTTTCTTAAAACACTGGGCCAGGGTAATTAGCTTTGTATACAACTCTAGAAAGCTTTATATGAGGAGTAAAATTCTATTTTTAACCAAATTGCTCTTAATTCTTTTTATTTAATTTATTTTTTATTTTATTTTGGAACTCTCAATGTGCTCTGAATAAAGTTACCTGTGAAATTCAGCTTGTATACAGAACACAGAACGCGCCGTGGTTTTCATGATGACTGTAGACTAATTTCTTCACATGTCAAGATGCTTCCTTAGCCATTTCTGCAAGCGATGAAGGTGTTCTGCATAGATGTTGACACACAGGCTTGTAGTTTACATGTTCTCACTAAACTTTCAGCCCTCACACTAGGAGGACATTGCTACCCTATGTAACCCATGTGCCTCTGTGTGTGTGTGTGGGGGGGTCTACTTTCAGATCCTAGCAGTTTAAGAGGAATGAGTGCTTTTGTAAAATATGCCCTGTGCAGGCCTTAGTCTGCTTACTTTAATTTCACAGTATTAATGGGAAACCCAAAATTGTGTATCTGTATATGCTCTTACACACAGACTATGCACAGAGAATTCTGAGCTATAAACTAAAAGAAAGATTATTAAATTAAATTGAAGCATGTCACATTTATAAGCAACTGGATGGTAACGGCCATAGGAACCAAAGTATGGGCCTCCTGAGTGATCATTAGTATTCATCACCAAGTGCAGTAATATTTATACCATATGCTTCTCTCCCAGAAGTCAGACGCAGCAGGAGGAGGAGATTTAATGACATGTCCTATGGAGATCTGAGGAACTCAAGACTGCTCTGAGCACCTCAGTGACCACTTGCTGCATATTTGAGATCTGTATCTCCATGGCAAGGACAGTTGCTCTTCAACTTCTTCAGCTCTTTAGGCGTGATGCATGGACTTGACGTTTCTCAGGAGAATGACTTCAAATGCTTTTGTAGGGAGGGGAATTTTGCTTTACATTTCAGGATGTGGATTCTCTTACTAACTTTCTGTGATCTAGGAAAGTACCAGCCTGGCCTGTCACTATCAAGGGGATGCTGAAAGCTATTGTTGCGACACCTAAACCACATGTACTTAACAAAGGTTTGTCAGCATTTTACATTCATGCTTTGGGATGACATAACACAATGAAAAAGCAAGACGTGCCAATGAAGTGATACTTTACACAGTAAGTTACCCAATGTGTACCTCTTAGGAAACCTAGCCAATCTGTTTCTCAGTTCACTACTGGTGGATTTTTAATGCTACCATCAACCGTTTTGTGCTACTTTATTTCCAGGTCTGAATCCATTCCAAACTGGTGGATTGAGCTGTTTCACTGTACAGGTTTTATAGATAAGTTTCCTAATGTAGCAGTTGGAAGGTCATTTTTATTCAGCAGCCCTTTCAGCCATATAGAAAAACTCTAATGCTATCAAAACAACCAACTGAAATCTGCATCACATCTTACTCATGGACAACAGAGCATCTAAAATGATGGCATTTTGCTACTTAGTAACAGGTGTAACAGGAAGTAAATATGCCTGGGATTGTAATTCTAAAGTCCACAGTGTTTCTACTTTGTTAGGCCTGCCTTCCAGAAATATTGAATGCTTTTTAAAGATAAATTTTTAAAATTGTCTTGTCCAATTAGAAATTTTTTTTTTTTTTTTTTTTTTTTTTTGGTTTTTCGAGACAGGGTTTCTCTGTGTAGCTTTGCGCCTTTCCTGGAACTCACTTGGTAGTCCAGGCTGGCCTCGAACTCACAGAGATCCGCCTGGCTCTGCCTCCCGAGTGCTGGGATTAAAGGCGTGCACTACCACCGCCCGGCAGAAATATTTTTAAAGTAGGTTATTGTTTGAAATCTAGAGTGTATGTGTGCATGTGTATGTGTGTGTGTGTGTGTGTGTGTGTGTGTGTGTGTGTGTGTGTGTGTATGTGTATACATGTTGAAGGGCACAGGTAGACAGGAAATAGAAGATAGGCTTCGTGAGCTGGCAGTTATCCAAACAGGTCCAGTAGGGGAAAGTGGAGAACCCAGGGCCTATGAAACACCCAAACCTACTTCCAACCTTATGGTCCTTCCCATACTGAAGGGATAAAAGTTACAGTGGCTCTGTCTTTTATCTTTCTGGGATGTTCAGCTCTGTCCACACCAAGGAAGAAGCTCAATGATCCCAATCATCCCATAGATGAGCAGTAACTACCCCCCTCCCTGCCCTGTTGCAGCGTGGGTGTGGCTATACATGCATGCAAGTGGGTGGGCAGGCTAGAGGTCAACCTGAGGTGCCATTCCTCAGGAGCTATGGCCTCTGTTTTATTCTTAAAATGGGTCTCTCAGTAGGACCCAAGGCATGGTAATGAGGCTAGGCTGGTTGGCCAATAAGCCCCAGGAGTCCTCCTTGTCTCCACCTCCCCAGCCATAGGAGTCCAATCATGTGCCACCATGTCCAGTTTCTTACTTGGCTGTTATGGAACCAAGCATGGTTCTTCATGCTTCCATGACAAGAGCTTTACCAACTGAGCTATCTCTTCGGCCCTATTGGCTAGACACAATGACATGCACACATACTAATCAATATTGCATGTCCAGCTAGTAACTGAAAGAATGGTAAGGTTTCAGCTCCAGAGAAGATATCCAACAAGGAAGACCCTAAGAAGGATGCCTGGATCACCCTGGGAAGGGGAAATAGATGAGATCTCCTGAGTAAACTGGGGGTGAGGGGGGCAATAGAAGGTAGGGTGTGGGGGATGAGAACATAAGGGAGTGGAATGGTCGAGCTGGAACAGGAATGGACTGGGAGAGCAATGAAAGAGATACCATGATAGAGGGAGACATTATGGGGATAGGGAGAAACCTGGTGCTAGGGAAGTTCCCAGGAATCCACAGGATGACCCTATATTAGACTACTAGCAATAGTGGAGAGGGTACCAGAGCTGGCTTACCCTAGTAATTAGATTGATGAATACCCTAACTGTCATCATAGAGCCTTCATACAGTAACTGATGGAAGCAGATGCAGAGATCTACAGTCAAGCACCAGGCTGAGCTCTGAGAGTCCAGACTAAGAGAATGAAGAGGGAGTCCATGAGCATGGGGCGGGGGGGACTCGGTGGTGGTCAAGATCATGTTGGGGAAATGTACAGAGACAACCGAGCCAAGCTCATGGGAACTCATGAACTTTAGACCAACAGCTGTGGAGCCTGCATGGGACTGGACTAGGCCCTCTGCCTAAGTGAGACAGTTGTGTAGCTTGGTCTACCTAAGGGGCCTCTAGCAGTAGGATCAGGATCCTGGTGCATGAACTGGCATTTTGGAACCCATTACCTATGGTGGGACACCTTGCACAGGCTTGATGCAGGAGGAGGGCTTGGACCTGCCTCAGCTGAAAGTACCAGGCTTTGCTGACTCCTCATGGGAGGCCTTACCTTTTCAGAGGGGGATGTGGGGGTGGGTTGGGGGGGGAAGGCTGGAGGGCAGTGGGAGGAGGGATGAGAGGGGGATCTGTGGTTGGTATGTAAAATGAATAAAAAAAGTCTTAATAAAGAAAAAATTGTGAGGTTTGTACCTATTTTTGAAAGGAACTCACAACCTCACTATGTTGTCCAGTGTGTCTAGCTTGGCCTGGGAGATCGCATAGATACTGTGAGCAACAGACCTTCATAGAAGATAATGATGGGTAAGCATCCTGAGAAAGCTATTCAATCCATTCAATGTGGCTGATCAAGAAAGAGTTTACTGTATAACTACTAGGGTATACAAATTAATTTTTTTTCTGGAGTAAACAATATTGGCCCCAAAGATAACCATTTTAACCTCTGGAACATGTGAATATTCCTCTTGTGGCAAAAGTGTGTAAGAATGGTTCTGCGTTTTCTGGATGGGACCTAAACACAGTAAAAAGTGCCTTTTAAGAGAGAGAGAGGCTCATAGTTCATGTGTTTCCATTCGTTTGGCTATTTGTCCCTGTGCTTTATCCAACCTTGGTCTCAACAATTCTCGCTCATATAAACCCTCCTCATTCTCACTAATTGGACTCCCAGAGCTCCACCCAGGGCCTGGCCATGGATCTCTGCATCCAGATCCCTCAGTCATTGGATGGGGTTTCTAGCACGACAATTAGGGTGTTTGGCCATCCCATCACCAGAGTAGGTCAGTTCGGGCTGTCTCTCGACCAATGGCTGAGGGGCCCCCAACTGGATCAGGCCCTCTGAATGAGTGAGACAGTTGATTGGCTTGATCTGTTTGGGAGGCATCCAGGCAGTGGGACCAGGTCCTGTGCTCATTGCATGAGTTGGCTGTTTGAAACCTGGGGCCTATGCAGGATCACTTGGCTCGGCCTGGGAGGAGGGGACTAGACCTGCCTGGACTGAGTCTACCAGGTTGATCTCAGTCCTCGGGGGAGGCTTTGCCCTGGAAGAGGTAGGAATGGGGGGCGGGTTGGGGGGGAGGGGAGGGGGCGGGAGGGGGGAGAACAAGGGAATCCGTGGCTGATATGTAGAACTGAATTGTATTGTAAAATAAAATAAAATAAAAAGATTATTAGAGGTTAAAAAAAAGAGAGAGAGAGGCTGAGATGCATTTGGCTGCAGAGAGTCTCGAGAAGGCGCCATGGTGACAGATGCAGAGGCTGGATGGAGATGCTTTGAAGATAGAGAAAAGAGCCAGGCTTGAGGAGTCCAGAATCTAGAAACTGAAAAGTACAAGGAAAAGGATTCTGTCAGGGGTTCCAGAATTGTAAGAGAAGAAATATGTTGTTAATCCATGAGTTTGTGACAATGCATTGATGTGTCCTTGGGAAATTAATACAAACAGTACAATTTCAGATTTTTAAAGAATTATATATTAATTGCTTAATTTTAGCAAAAAGAATAATTCCTTCTTTTAAATCCCCTAACTGTGCTCATGACTTGAGTTTCCACTTGTTTATTTTTTCAGGCTTTCATTCCATATGCCTGGCTTTTGCAGAGAATGGACAGCAGCTGTCTATACTGGATCATCATATAGTTACACTCCAATGCCATCATTCTGGGTAATTCTCCAGTTCGCCTGTGATTCCAATATGCATTCAAATGTCCATCAGTTCATAAATGCATCAACTTAGAATG